GACACGCCAGAAGATGGTGTATGTGCCAGGAATCACTAGCAAACAGTCTGGTTGCTGAGGTAGATTTTCCTGCTTCCATACTGCAGACAGGTTTTTAATTTATTTTCTTAAGTCAAAGAATCTGTGCAGAAGTAAAGGTATAAACATGAAGCAAATAAGAGTGAAAACATAGCCAAAGAAGACTCTTAAAAAAAGCTGCTCTCTCTGCTGTAACACTGTGAGTTGATCTGATCTGGAAAGCTGAGTCTATTCTAGGGAAAATCCCAGTGTACAAGCCTACCTTCTCCCATGCCAAACTGGTCTCTGATTCACCAACTTCTGCAGTGACAATCATTCCTCAGTCAGATCTCTGCTGAACAGGAATGCCTTCAGCTAGGACAAACCTGAATACTCCTCCATGCCTGGTTACTAGTCTGATGAAGCTATTTGTCATGTCATATATTACTATAGGCTGCCTATGGATTTTTGTCCAAGGTCCAAGAATTTCTACCTGAGCCTCTGGATGAGATGGTACACGTAGAAACTCCATAACAGCTGGAACAAACAGCATTATGTGGATTAAGAGCAGGTGAAAATACAGTAATTGAATTAAGCCAGTTACAAATGAGGGGGAATTCAATTTTATCTACATTTTTGAAGGGGAAAATTAGAAGACTAATAGAACGGTTTAAGAATATAAGAATGCTATGGATGTGACATTTACACTCATACTGGCAAACAAAATGCCTCAGAGCACAGAAAAGATTAGTGTCAATGAATCATTTTGCATGTCTTTTCATGTAACCTTGTTCATTTACATTTTACATATTTAGCAGATGCTTTTCTCAAACATACAGCTGTCAAGGAATCAGCTAGGCATATGTGTCTAGGCTGAGCTTTCAGCGCATTCCCAGGTACAGGTGGGAGTAGGAGCTGCACGCCAAGTAGGATCTGCACGCCAAGTAGGAGCTGCACACCAACTTATAACAAAACAAGAAACTAATGAGACTATTCAAGGACTAGAAGTGCAACATCAGAACATTCAGGGAACAGTTGAATACAGAAAAGTCTTCAAATGTAATATATAATTTTACACAATAGAAATGCATAGCATTTGATCAGGGTTATGCTCGACATCAAATGGAGCTTTGCATGCAATTGGCTTTGTGGGGACTCTTAAAGTTTAATTGCATCCGGTGGCATTTTAGTGAGGTGGCACCATGTAACTCTTCTCACAGTGGAGGACGGCTAAGGGGTGTGCAGGATTCTGCTGGGTATAGTATTCTGCTTCCTGGTTTCAACCGGTCAGCCCAAAATAATTATAATGGAGGAGAATTCTTTACTAATCAGAACTAATCACACCTGCTTATTGATTACCTGCCTTATCTGTATGGGCAGATATGTCTGATTTCACTTGTTACGCTGAACTCTAACTAACATAGTGATCACCCCAGCGGTAATTTACACCAGAGTTTCATCAACTGTGGGTGGTTTATATTTTTGTAGCTGATCCAGCTTCTCTCTGCTTTGCTGTTAATTCAAAAGCTGACATTTGTTTAGGGAAAAGATCCGCCGGTTTGATGAAATTAAGCAGCATGTGCTGATATCTGTCTGTACTTATAGGGTGGCAGTCAACTGAAACTGTCTTTCCAATCACCAGGCAAACATATAATTAACTTTATTGGCAATATTTGGAATGTAAACCTGACTGTAAACCTTTATTATTTGACTTCTGATTACAGTGCAAGGCAGACAAGCCAAAACTACAGGATGCTTTGAGGTAGTGACAGATTGTGACAAAGGCAGTGCCTGATAATTATCAGCATGACTCAGTTATCAGGGTGGGAGAGGATGACAGATTCGGCCACGAAGGGGAGCTTCACGAGAGCACCAGAAGCGCCGCCCATATCCTTCAGCTCTGCTCCCAGCGGCTCTGTAATTTAGGACTGAGCACTGAGGGAAACTGCCTCCATCATTCTTCAGGGTGTCCTGAAAAACACAGCTCTTTTTTTGCAGTATGTCACAGGGAAAAAATGCCAAAGGCAGCTATTCAGGTAGGGCCCCTCTGGGGTGTGCAATCTGAACAGAAACGCGAGTAGAGCAGCATTGATTTATTATGCCAATCTGGGACTGGGTACTCACTCATTCACATTTTCAAATACCACTAATCCCCAAGGTACAGATACTCTCCCAGCAGTTTCTGAGTTCAAAAACATTTAGAATCAATACCATGCCGTTGTATATTAAAGTCATTGTATATTAAGGTGTTTTATTGCAAGCAAAAAAAAATAGTGGTTACATTTTTTTTGTATTTCTATTCAAAACCAAAACTTTTCAAAATGACTCTTGATTTTAGGGGAAATCAATGCACTGCAATGCAAACCCGTGTTTCTTCATGGTGTTTTTAAGTATCCATGGTATAATGGACGCTATGCTAATATTCTTTTTAGAAACAAACTCATCATTTGGCCAAAGAGTGCTGTGTGAGGGCATTGCTGAGGACAAACAACCCATCTTGCAGTTTTCTTGCAAGCTGGTGAAAACTCTGACATTTCTGCAGATTCTCAGCTGAATAAAATCGAGCTTCAAATGACAGCGCTCTTCAGGAAAATGTTCAGTGCAGAGAAACTCTAATCGATTGTACAAGGGCGCAGCAGTTGTTTGCAGCTAAAAGCTTTGGCCCTAGCAGACAAGTTTAGCAATGTAGTCTTTATTTCCAATTTAAGCAAAGTAAACAACAGCAAAGACCCTCTAGATGGCGCCCTTTAACAAATAAAATGTATTCATAAACTTCCGCCAATAAAGAATAGATGTAAAACCGAAGAATTATCAAGCGGCTGCATTCATCTGCGATCACTGGCCACTTACCCAGTGATGGATCTGAGATCAGAGGACCACCCTGAAGCCCATTTGCACCGTGCATGACCTTATGAGTGGCGTACATGAGACACGCAGGACGTAAAATCACCACTTGACCAGGATGCCCTCTGGAAACAGTATGGGGTGCATTTGCGCTTCTGGGAGTGTAAACGTGACACCCCAATGCTGGAACAGCGAGGCAACATCCCCCCCCACACACACACACAGAGCGCTAGGGGGCGCCTGCAGCACATGGAAAGCTAAAGCGACCCCCTATGTAAACCACACACACACACACACACAATGGTAATGGATCTGCCCGTAGGGGTCCAATGTTTGGGAATCTCACACTCGCACAGATTCTGCCCTGATTTACTACCATGTGTCTTCATACTTACATTTGCTCATCAACATCAGCATTTCCCGTCACAGTTATAACCACGGCAAAGGCGCTTTGGAACTGTTACCGCACATTATCCGTCACTGATCACATATCCTGCTTTGCATCGCTTGTTTGTAGTCGTTTGTGTTGTTCCGGACCATCAGTGCTGTTTTACATAGTCTGTATTGTTTGTTTTCCTACTTACATTGTGAACACTGTCTTGTTTAGTCTTTTTTTAATCAACAGGAACAAAGTATTACATTGCATCTGTTGCAGATGTCCAATAAAGAATTTAAAATCTTGCGGCAAAAACAAACGTTACAATATTTCTGTTATAAATATGACAACTCTTCTATATTGTATATGATTTGCAAAAAGCCTCATAACCCTGGATAACCATACGTACAAGTCCTGAAAAATAGAAAAAAACGAGTCTCCTTATCTGTCGCAGACCTGGACACATTGGTGAAGTAGATGATAGACAGACAGCGATAAATAAATAGACATAAATTTTATTAAACCCGAATAAAATTCCAATAGCTCGAAAAATACAATGGTAGAGACAATAGTACACAAAGTAATAGAATAAAATACAGGGCCTGCATTAAGAACCCCGGGTCAACAGACTCTGTGAAGGATAAGTGAGAGTTGGAAAATCCATTGAGTAAAACAATCCGCCTATAATTAATGTTGCTGGACAAGAAGTAGCATAATGTGGAAAAATTTGCCGAGACCCTTGATCATTTTCCTTCACTCCTGAAAGAACAAGTTACACGTGGTTGACCTCTGTTTGGCCACGAAGCGCCAGCGCAGGGTACAGAACTGTTCGGCTGTTATATCAGGAAATCTTTGGTAATTAACCTCTTAAACACACAACAATAATCATTCTCGCTGTCGTCGTTGATCGCTACTCCTCTAAGTGGTGTAGCTATTTACAAAAAAAAAAAAAAATGACGTTACTCCAGGATACAGGTTAACATATATGGTTATATGTTATATATATGTTATATGTTATATATATAGCATATATGATTAGATTTTTGAGACAAAAGAAGCATTTTACAAAACGACCAAAACAACGGCATTATATTTTTTAAGTGTAATAAGCTATTCTAATAACTTACACATTTTAATGAATGGCCCGTATTAGTTTTATTTATACGTCATAACGCTGTACGGCTCCGTTCAGGAATACAATATGTGCTCTACAGTATGTTGTTTTCCAGCGGCTAAGGATGGAAATAGTTGCGTCAAAGTGGCACAAGCCGACTGACTTAGGAGTGAAATCTAGATGCAGTCTGCTGGGGATTTAGGCCTAAGGCTAGGATTTCAATCAGGTATAATGCAAGCTTATGTTTCAAATGAGGACACGAAGCTAAAGGCTGCCTACTTATATAACAACATCTAATCGAAAAAAAAGAAAGTTAGGTATTAAGTGAAACTATTACGATTCTAAGACTGGGAGACTCCTCGATGTTTTATTACCCACCCCTCAAGGCGATCTACGGCGACAACATGAATGGTGCATTTGTTCTTTTAAATACAGTGTGGAAGAATGAACAGTGGCGATCTCCTCGGGTTTTAACCTTTTAGAGTCCAGTCCTTGGCGGGATACCCATGTCTGTGTCAGCTGCACTGTAAATGCAGCTTAAACTTACTAGAAACAGTCCCGAGTGTAAGTGGTTCGTTAAATTTGTGCAAAACAAAAGTTACAACGTAAATAAAAGAGAACCGCAAAGAAACAAGATTAAAACAAGCTGACGGTGACGTAAACAGAAAACAAAACGATTAATGGGATTTACAGACGATATACATGATGCCGATGGATTACTAGTTTATTATAAATGCTTTTAAAATAGTTTTATATGACGGAAAACATGTTTCGGTAATTTTCGGTTTCCGAGTCAACATGGCATTATGCCATTAGAAGTTCAGCAATACTTCTGTAACGTCAGTGTGTTTGTTTTTTTTTCTTTTTTCGTACCCATATGTGGCTGACATTAAAATCAGTGCGCGTTTCTGTAAAGACGCTGGAGTAACGACCTCGATAACACCACGAACAGCATCAGCGAATTGGGGGGAACTGGGGGTGTGAAGGATGGGGGAGGGACACATTTTTCCAGTTCTTTTGTAGGCTGTAGAAGGTGCTTAATAACAGACGGGAGAGGCGGGGGAGAGAGCGATCCGGGAGCCTCTTTTGTCTACCGTAGTCATTTAAGAAACACAAAAGCTACGCTTAGCGGTGCTTCAGTTCGCCACCTGGAGATCTGCGATTGTCCTGTAGTAGGATGGAGAATTTGAGGTATCCTAACCCGTAGCCACAGATTGGGATATGAAGTTGTGAAATCCTGGCAAAACGAAATCGTGTCCAGCGGTTCAGGACCCGAACTGTAAGATCTAAGGATAGGGGTGAGTATGTAGGGTTTTGTTAATGTAGGGTTTTACTAATACAGGCCACAAGTGCCTAAGAATGATTGTTGTAGTTGAATGAATAACTTAACCAAACACAATTTATGTAAGTAATGCGCTGACAATAGATAAGTTAAACTATTCAACAATAAAAACGCTTATTTCTGAATATACTTTACAGTACGTTTGATTGGGAAGGGGAATTACAGTCAATGAGATGTTTGATAATGTTTTTGTAACATCCTTTGTCTAGTTAAAATGATGCGCTTTTCCTCTGCCTAATTGTGACATCCTATCATTTATGTGTGCGGTTACTTCTAGCAATCTGGTTTGGGTAATCTCGGGGTCACAGTTGATTACACATATTGAATACTGGCGGGTTTCCTGGTGATATAACTGAACGCAAAGAAGTGAGAAATCCCGCATTTTCTTTCAATACACTTATCCAGCTAGAGAATCGTCCCCGCGTGTTTTTTTTTCGTGTACAACATTGTTTAGGTATTGGCCGCTCAAAGCAATGCTTTTATTGCAATGTCTCTCAAAACTGTAGTTCAATGTGTTGCTATTGAGGTTGCTATATGAATTAAACTAAAATTCACAGGACTAGCCAGCATGCAACCAAAATATTGAAAAGCTAAATATGGGTGTCACCCCTGAAGATGGTTAAAAATACTTTGTTGTTAAATAATACATAGTTGTCCTGACATAGTGGCTCTTAAGCTGTGAATAATTTATGTGGAGAAAGTGGGCCTTGTTTTGGGGTGGATACTTATTTACCTGCAATTAAAAATTCATGTGACTCCTTCTGCACTATTACACAAATACTCTTCATACATTTCTGGTCACGGGCATGTATTTTGCATGTTCCATGTCTATCTGTGTGTGCCTATATTTATTGTTCTGTGTGCTGTACTGCTCTGTACTGATAGTACTGTGATAAATATTTTTCTTATCTCATTTTTTAAACAATATGCTCATAACCTTTTGCATATATATGCACTGATTTTATGGCATATATTTATATGTTGTTTCTATGTCTATGGATTAATACGACACCCCCAACGGGACATGGGAGGAGAAAAAAATAATGGAGATCACAGTTATTAATATTATCTACTGTGAGATAACATAAATGATTTGCAACTCTTTTTTTCCCCTTCCATTAATTTTTTTCCACTCTCTTGTGTCCTTAGGGGCTCCGTAGATTAAGAACTTTAGCATTAACTCTGTTCAGTGTACAGAAATGTAGGCTTTTCTCCTGCAAGTAAAGGCTTCATTCACCGCGCGTGTTAGTTTAAGGAGGACAAACTGGCTGATGACCAATCACAATTAGAAGCTTTAAGGCTAAATATAGGCCCTGGAGATTTTCAGGAGTACTTAGGCTTTACTGGCAATCCCCTGGATGTAACTTTCCTAGATGGTTTTCAGGGGGGGGGGGGCAGGTCCTCATAAGATCTGCTGATTTTTAACAAAGAGACACCTGGAAAATGAAGATAAATTGTTTTAGTGCCTCCTAAATATTTTTCCATCCATTTTTCAATTACCTTTATCTTTATGGGGTTACAATGGTTTGAAGACTGTCCCAGAAGGTATAAGGTGCAAGGCAGGGCACACCCTGAGTGGGATTGTGGCTCATCAAAAGCCACTGATGCAAAAGCACTCAGACTACAAGGTTCAAGGGCAATTTTTACTCACATGCAGTTGGGCTATAACTGTCAATCTGACACTTTATTCCACTGATTGCTCCTCCAGTGCCTCCCATTGCACAACTGACAGTATTTGATCCCATTCAAACATTTTGACATTATTCTGGTACACACCCATGGCAGTGTTCTTTCAGTTATTTATTAATATCCGTAACATTTATTTAGGCCTGTTTCAGCTGCAATACTTTGTTTTGTACTTGTTAGCACTATGGCAGACAGCAGGGGTGGGCAATCTTATCTGCAAAGGGCCGCTGTGCATGCAGGTTTTCACTGCAACTCCCTACTGAGATTACTAATTAGAGGACTGATTGGTTGAAGTCTTCACACCTGGGTTGACCAGCTGACCTAAAGGTTACCCCCAAAACCAGCATACACACTGGCCATTTGCAGATAAGATTGCCCATCCCTAGCCTACAGGTAACTCAGAAGTAAGATTTCCGGTTCTGTCATGGCTTTCAGGAGGAGAGTGGGGTAAGGAGACCCAGGCGAGAAAAATAACTGGCGCGTAGCACGTATTTCGGGAGACGGCCGGCGATTAAATACAGTGATTGATACAGCTCTTGCTTAATTTGGCCATAATGTAAAGAGGTTGAAATATTAGTTATTGACATTAAGTAAATATACTTCACGTGAACCACAAACAAGCCGTTACAAACGTGAATTTTTGGGTAACTTCGATATAAAAAATACAAATTCATACGTATGTAGCGTACCTACATATTGTTTCAATTGTATAATCTAGGTGTGCATATATTTTTAAATAACACATATTCTTACAAGATATATAAACACGTATATAATAATATATAAGCATATATAATACGATTTTTATATAAATATGATTTTTCATTGTTGAAAATCACGGTTTATTTCTTTGTATTTCCTAACAACAGTCTGTCGTTTTGCACGCCTCATGTCCAGCGTCTGCTCTCGATTCGTTAAGCCTGCGGATCAGACGGGATCGAAATGGTTTTTTGATACGTATGACGCAATGCACTGCGCCCCCCACCCCGACTGAGCCTCCTAATCGAGCAAACGCACCCAGTGCCAGCGGGTCCTCCGTGCATCGCGGCTCGCTTCCAGCACGACCATGGTGCGCAGGAGCCGCCTCCCCGCACAAAGGGCTAAATCTGGGCTTTCGAGAGAGACGCTCCCACCGTGACAGTTTTTCGGCTTACGGCTGCACTGCACTTCGTCTCTGCGATGCTCCGTGGGTGCTGCCGCAAAGGGCTGCGCAGCACCGAAATCGGGCCGGTTCTGTCATGGCTTTCAGGAGGAGAGTGGGGTAAGGAGACCCAGGCGAGAAAAATAACTGGCGCGTAGCACGTATTTCGGGAGATGGGCGGCGATTAAATACAGTGATTTGGGATGGCCGGGACGAATCGTTTATGGTGTTATTCATAACAAAGGTTTTTGCTCGCCCCATGTATCTCTAATTCTAAATATCAAGTTATAAAACGTATTTTAAAATGCACATTGATGGAGCGTGACACTTCCTCCCTTTAACATTTTTAAAGATTGTAATCAAGAACAGCGTTAACGCACATTTAAAAGTCGATTGCAGTACAACAAAACTGTATACAGTATGGCTACTAAAATAGCTGAATAAACCACCGTGCTCATGTTCCTACTTACAATTTGTGTGACAAAAGACACAAATTTGTATGAAATAAGTGACGTATTCATACAGTTGCTTTTGCTTAAAAAGGACAGATTCGTTATAAGTCTACAGAATGTGCGTTATGCCTGCAGACTCTTGAGTATTTTGTTTTTGAGCATTTCATGGGCGGATGGTTGGGGGTTATGCATATTTGATGAGACCAGCACATGTTTTGACCTTATGTCCACCGCCCCCCCGCCCCTCACTGTTTGGCCAGGAGGATGCGGAGGCTTGGGTGCCATCGGATAGGTCTGCTCTGGAAAGGCCTCCTCCTGTTTCTTGCGGCCGCTTTCGCCGGGCAGCTTCTGGGCATCATCTTCAATAAAAGGTCAGCGCCGCCCTAAGCAGAGCACCTCCTGGTCTGTCTGGTGCCGTCGGTGGCCACGCGGTGATTTCTGATAACAGCCCGATTCTTTGTTCCACTTTCTGTAATGAGCTGGAGAATAAGCGTCCACAGGGAGTGACTGTGTCGGCACGGCGCAGGTTGATGCCGTTTCCTTTGCTGAAGCTTAATTTTTTCAGTTGGCAGGGCAGGTCAAGGAGGGAAGCACTATTAACAACTCTCTAGAAGGAAGTTTTTTGTTAATTAAATCTCCATGCCTTCTCAGTTTGTTTCATGGATATCGGATGCAGTCTTCATGTCCTCTTCTGTTACACCACACTCGGGGTTTCCTTGGCCTTATTCCTCTGCATCTGCCCCCCCTCCCCCCCCCCCCCCCCCCCACAGTGCAGAGAGGCCCCCGTCGCTCTTCTCTCTGCCGTCCATGGACTCTCTCGCCCCTCCTCTCGGCTTGTGCCAGGTGCGCACCCACGTCATGTTCTTGAAGACCCACAAGACGGCCAGCAGCACCGTGCTCAACGTGCTGTACCGCTTTGGGGAGGAAAGGGGCCTTCAGTTCGCCCTGCCCCTTGGTTACCAGTTTGGCTACCCCATGCACTTCATCGCCCACAGAGTTAAAGGGTACCGAGGGCCGCGTGCTGTGGAGTTCAGCATCATGGGGAACCACATGCGCTTCAACAAAGTGGAGGTACGGTTACCTGAGGCAGCACTTGGTGCTTTCCGGCATCCTGGTTGGATCCTGAGTAGAACATCTGTAAAAAATACTTAATGCCAGAGAAGTCTATGACTATTCTTAGCTATTATTGATTACAGCTGTTTTTTCTGGGTTTATATATATTAAATTCCACGAGCCTTTGTTTACCTATGCTTTGCTCCTTCCCCTTCGCTTCTTCCTTTTCCTCCTCCCCTTCAAAATGAATATTTTTAGGTTGAGAAAGTGATGCCTGCGGACACGTTCTACTTCTCCATCATCCGTGACCCCGTGGCTCTGGCAGAGTCGTCATATGGTTATTACAAAGCGGTGGCCCCTGCATTCAAGCGATCGAAGGGACTTGCGGACTTCGCCTCAGACCCATGGCGGTACTATGACCCCCGATTGCGTAACAACCACTATGCCCGCAACCTCCTGTGGTTTGACTTTGGCCTGGACCATAATTCCAACTTCTCCTTGCCGTTAGCCAAGAGAGGGGAGGCAGTGGTGCGCAGGTCCTTCAGTCTTATACTGATATCCGAGTACTTTGACGAGTCTATGGTACTCCTCCGCCACGCCCTCTGCTGGCCGCTGGATGCTGTGGTCTCCTTCAGCCTGAATGCCCGGCAAGCGGGGGCCAGTAGGGGGAGCTTCGGCGGGAGGCTGACTCTGACAGAGGAGCAGAAGCAGAAACTCCGAGAGTGGAACGCACTCGACTGGCACCTCTATGTGTCCTTTAATCGAACCTTCTGGGAGAAGGTGGAGCTCTTCGGGAAGGCCCGCATGGATACGGAGGTGGCCCTCTTGAGGACCCGGCGGGGCGTAATGGCCCGGATCTGCCTGCAAGATGACGGGCGGCCTGTGGAGGCCAGTCGTATCCAGGACAAGGCGATCCGTCCCTTCCAGAGTGGGATGGTGAAGATTCTTGGGTACATGCTGAGATCAGACCTGGACAATGCAACCTATCATGCATGCCTGAGGATGATCAGGCCTGAGATCCAGTACAAAGACTTCCTTGATGCAAAGCAATTCCCCCGCCCTCTGCAGCCCTCCGTGTTGGGTGCTGGATCCCTGCGGAGAGAACTGCAACCCCCCAGGAGAGCTGAGCAGAGACCAGTGAGAGGAACACGGATCGACTTGGACAGGCTGGGTTTAGGTCTCAACCAGACTGCACCCCTGGCAGGAAGGAAACGCCCACTAAGATAGCTATAAAGCCTCTTCCTGTCTGTTAAATGCAGAAGCGACCTGAACTGGTTCTGACTGGCGTATGACACTCTGGCTCAGAAACACTCTATGACTGCTAATGGTAACTGGTTTTCCTCCCATGTTTTCTTCGTGTTTTAATCGCATCTGTATGCACTTTTGGAAAGAGAATCATAATGCAGGTCCCCAGTGTCCGCCGTGGTGTATTGCGAAATCGCGTCGAGGCACACGGTCAGCAGTTTTTCTTGAATATGGAAATGAGCGTTGAGTGCGTGTGTGGCGGAGGAGGCGGCGAGAACCGGTCGGCATCAGAGGTGCAGCATTTCGAGTGCCGTGGTGCATGGATGTGTCTGCTCGGCCTCCTGGCGGAAGCAAGCGGGAGATTCCCGTGCAAGTCCCCTGCACGCATTCGGCGAATGAGCATAGGTGTCCCCTGCCCCCGGGGGGGGGGGGGGGTGCCACTACACTGCTAACCTGTTACTTACCCAGAAGCTAATCCGGCGTAACGAGAGTGATGATGTGAACTGGGGTTTCCCAGCAAGTACCATGACAATCCAGCCGAATCAGTTCTCATACGCTGTAACTCGGCACTTTTAATTATGCGTAATTATGTCATTTTGTGTAAGAGGCATGCATTACGTCTAAGAAAATATTCGTGTTTCTTCGCCATTCACTGAAGTCCAGATGCTGTCAAAAGTTCTGCAGACCTCTGTGAATGGGAGGTCCACAGACCATACTGAGATGCCGATTGGCTCAGTGGGCCTGAAGGATGTTGGGATGGTTTCTACTCTGATTCCTTTTAATCGCCTGGTTCTTCATCAGCATAAACTAATGAATGATACCACAGGTGTTTAATATGATTAATTAATCCGTCAAGCTTCCTATAGTACGAGTATTTAAAAAAAAAAAAAAAAAAAAAAAACTTGAATGATTCTTAAAAACATACTTAAATTTTTTAATTGTTATTGATAAGTAACATAAATGAGAATAATATGTTAAATCTCAATAGCATAGGCATCTGTTTGGTTTTTTGCACCATTGTGAAACACTTGCATGAAATTCTGATTCTTGAGTATGGTACATTTTTCAGTTACGTGGTAATGTTTCAAGTGGTTGTTTGTCCTTGTGGATTACATTTTATCTTGACATGGCTTTGAATGTGTTCATTTATGTGCAGAATTGCAGAAAGGTTGCAGTGTTTCAAGAAGCGTCACTCAGACTTTATTATTGTACAGAGTACAGTACAGCGGCTGCCCCACTACAAGCCCCAGAGAGGCGAGAACCCAGGGGATGTCAGGGCAGAACTGAGGTCTGGTGATGCGGGGGGAGGGGGGGGGGGTTCCCGCAGTTGCTGGTGATGAAAGCCAAGCATCCTCGCACCAAGCTGGGTCCGTCTAATAATGAGGGGACTGAGCAGCGTGAAGATGTTTAAATGATGAAACACTCAAATTGTTCGCAAGTCTAAAAAGACTATAATGTGTAGGGAATCGTCGGTTTCTTTTAAAGCTTTGCCAGTTAGGATGTATTTCTGCGTGTATGTGATAAAGGCAGTGCAATGGCACAGTAGGTCAGACTAAGGCCTCACGTATCCAGGTTCGTCGCTAAATTAGCCACAGTGTGCGAGTGTGTGCGTTGTTTCCTGTAACCGGTTCCAGGCTCGACACAGTACTGGATAAAGAGTCAACGAAGACCGATAGACAAAACGGGAAAGACGTTTCTTCGTTTGACAGCACTGCCTCTGCCGCACTGCCACTCAGACCACCCAGTGTGTTCAGGTTCACAGTCTGTTCTGCTTCCGACTGAAGATCCAAGAGCTGTTTTGTCGTGTAGGTAAGTTGAGCCTGTCATGATGCCCCTGGCGAGACGTGCTGCTTGATACAGAATTACAGTCCCATTGGTAAACGCGGGTGAAACAGGGACAGCACTGGTAGACGGGTAAAGCAATGGTCATCTGTTAACGTCATCGGGAAGCACAGGAAAGCCAGTATAGCGAAAATACGGAGCGCTAACAACTAACAGGAAAACGAGGCTATAAATCCGGCACTTTACGGTTGGGGAAAAGGCAGTTGCTATAAGACTGGTCTCCTGTTTTTGGTCCCTGTGTCTCTGCATAAACAATGTATGAGGCCGTCATTTGAACCAAGAGGCCTGTGTGCTTTGGTCGACTGCCATGCCCTTGCCCTGCGCCGTCCTCTTCATCACTAAAAGCTGCTCTATGTGGAAGGGTTCATGGGTGATGGATTCACGATTTTCCCAGGCAGGTGCAGCTCACTCCTGTTCACCAGTCAGGGAGAGGGTGGACATTTTTTGCAAATCCGTGTATCTAGGTGGAATACCTGACTAAAACATATACCCCGTAAGTCAATGTTAAATGTGCGGTGACCCAATTTAGTAATGTTAGCCGTCAAGGTGGCCCAAGGAGAATGGATAACTGAGGGGAGTATGACGAACAGCTTGTCTTCGAATCATTCTCTGCTTTATGTACTCCACTTATAGTCCAAAGGTTAATTCTATTGTCCATATGAACACCTGTATGTTCTATTGACTAATCTCATATTCACTTATTGTGCTGTTGAAAAGTCTTTTGTGACAGGGTTTCGACGGAGATGTCATGTGACTGCAGCTGAAAGTTGGAATGCACGGTAGCGATGAAAACTGGACTTGCTGGCAGTTTCTTTGTTATTTTGAAAAGGTACATGAAAGATTGGCACTAACGCGGAGCTAATGTGAAACTGCATTTTTGCCATAAGCGACTCGCACTCTGAGTTTGTTCGGCCGCATCCTTCATGCTGGAATAACCGGTCCGCATGCTGATTCAGCTCAGATTGGAAAAATGATCTGCCCAGGAGGCTGAAAGTGTTGCCTGAGAATGCAGAGCGCAGGACGGCGCAGATCTATTGTCACCTCCTTGTTACAGGTTTACTGCACTTGCTGTTGTCTGAGTCTGAGCATTAGTAAATTAATTAGGTAAGTCTTCAACTTTTTAAATTACAGGACATTTGGGATCTAAAAAGACCTAAAAATGTCATGATTGTTTTATTTCAAATTAAAATAAAACTACACCGCTCTCCCCTTCCTTTGAATGTTGGTCTCTTATCTATGTCTAATTTATTTTTCTTATTTGATAACATTGTATGTTTGGTTTAAAACATACATTATGGCATTAATGTGTCTATAGCTTTTTTTAAGAATAAAATGGACTAATTTCTCTAGATTGTGGACGACTTGGCAAATGTCTCCTTTTTCCTTTACTTGCATTCAGAGTGAGATGTTCATTCAGTCTCTGTTCTGTATCTCAGCTAGTTGCTATGCAGACAGAGGACATGTCATCACAGGTTGACAAACTGGAAATTCTGGATTGCATTCTCTGAAATGCTCTGCTCTAATTCCTTCAAAAGAGTTTCCCCCTGAGATTAATAAAACGTGTCTTTTCAGTTGTGCTGTGGTTTGTTTCATTGTTACTAATGTTGTGGTGGCTGGTGACATCTAAGGTATTCGAAAACAGCAATGGGAACTTGGAAACAAAACGTGAAGCAAAGGAGTGGATAAATTCACAACAGTACAGAGAACTTGAAGACCAGGGTTAATTTGGTGTGGTGTTGATGCGTGGGGGGGAGACGCCCTAAAAAGAATCACCCAAAGATGCCTATTAGTCAGGGTTGTGGCTAAGGGTGGGCACGGATTGGCTGCCCACTCAACTGATCACCATTGTGGTTGACAACTACTTCAACTGCTGCCCCCCATAGAAATTTTTTAATGTTTCCTCCTCAGGTCAATTGGTACCGGTCAGCAGTGGCAAAATGTACCAAGATGGGACCTCCCCTCCCAGTAAGCCTCAAAATATACCAAAAAGGACCCGTCCCCCCACCCCCTTGGTGGCAGCAAATGCACTGAAAGGGAACTACTATGCCCTCCTGGTGCTGGGGTTCGAATCCTGCCCCCGCTCTGCATCATGAGGGTCACCTCCACTCTAAAGAGACACAAACAGACTAACATACATTGTCCGTGGTACATGGTAATGTGTGTGCCCTGCGATGGACTGGCACCCTGTGTTCAGTGCCCTGTGCTCCCTGAGGTAGTCAGTAGGCCATCCCATCACCCTGACCAGGAGAAGCAGGTGCAACATGGATGAGGAATAAATAAATAAAGGAGACCAACCTCAGCACTGGTCATATTTCAAACATCACTTTTTATTACCTCTGAATATCCAAATGTCTATTTTTGCATTTTGAATAAAATATCCGTCACCTTTGAAAATTATGTGGGCTTGTTTTTTAATTGCTTTTTTTTTTTTTTTTTAATTTTTTTACACTTTTTCATGTTCAGATAGAGCATGTTTAGTTGGGTGGTTTTTCTCACAGGGAGGTTTTCTTCTGAAAGTGGTCCTTCTCTACGTATAATATGCCAGCTGCCTCATTGCATTACACCATACTATGCTGCCTCACTCCTCAGCAGCTCTCCTTGCTTCCATATATCATTGCTGTTGTGTCTCAGCATTTTATTTTTTTATTTGAACAGTTAGAAATGACTGTTTACCTTTACTTTTTAAAAACAGTCATATTAATATTCAGAATCTCTTTGTCTAGGGTGCATTGATTGAACAGCACCACCGGCAATGTTACACAAACTTGTAAGCATACAGAATAAACTCAGTTCCTGTTATATTAGGCCAATGACACAGAAAGTCAAAACATCAGAACACTGCTGCTTTGGAAGACGGCACAGCTTTCAATATGCCTTCATAAAAAATCGCATTCTTCTAAGGCATTGCAACACACAAATTACACTAATGGGTATTATATTAGAAATATCTAAAGCTGCATAAGAACTGGGTGTAGTTGCAGGAATTCGTTGACATGCATGTGCATTCTTTGACCATTTCATCTCCAGTGACTACATAAAAAGTGCATTAGAACAAAAAGAATATTTTGAAAAAAGCTATTCCTAAAAATAGAAAGAATACTGCATAGTATCTTAAATATGATTATATAGGCTGTTATGAAATATAAAACTAGTGTTTTGTTGTTTTCGTGGTACAACTGGCCATTTTCCGCCCCTGGAGTTGTAATGAATAATGCAATACACTAAAATCAATTCAGTGATTATCTCTGCAAACACATGGACTCGTGTTATTGTCATTTCGTGGTTTCATGCCGATACAAGCACAGCATATGAGAATAGGGGCAAGGTAATGGTTTTGATGTCACTATTGTTGCAATAAAGTAAAACGAAATTGCGATTTTTCAGGGTATCAATCTAGAACTAGGACAAGAACAGTTGAACATCAAACACAGGACAATAAAAAAAATCAACACCATACTCAACAGTACACTACAATACACTACATCGACTACAGCAATGACACAGCAATACATGTAAACAAATGTGCAGGACAGTGTATATATCCAGTACACTGAACAAATAACACAAACATTACATCTTCGATTTTGCTACATTATGCAGTAAAAACTATAAATATTGCAGAGAGAAGAACAGACACGGATATATTCAAAATTAGATTACACTGACATTATTGTCATAAAAGAGTAGTCCTATCTTGGGACGATGATTTTTGATTGATTGCTTTTCCTGGTCTGCTCGTGTTAGGATTCGATAGTGCATTACTTTGGCCTTATAGTGCACTGTCAGACTGCACTGTGGTGCAATGGGGCGAATTTTGTGTCAATGTGTGCATAATTAAGTTCATAGAGACATTAGATATGTCACGCGAAAAATACACATATGAATTAATGTAATTAAACTTCAGTAAAGTTCGGAAATTACTGAAGACGACAGAGCGACTATCAAAGCAGCAAGGAAGAGAATTAGCCCGCAGCTAACGGGTTGGTCTCATTTGCTGTAGGAATGGTTTTAATGATGGAGTCTCAGTGTGAGTATTTTATGTATTTCCCTGCCGTTCCCATTTCGGACCTGTCAGACCCGGCCAGGTATCGGACCCTCCCGCGCCGCAGCAATCTTTATCTTGGCGAGACAGTGCGCTTTTTGCTGGTCCTACGCTGCAAGGAGGGGACGGCTGGCTCGGCGGCTGGCAGCGGATCGGAGAGCCCCAGCAGCCGGGCTTGGAGAGAGCTAGCCGGATCTCTTTGTGCCGTGGCCAGCGTCAGCCCCGGCGAGAGCAGGCAGCGATCGCAGCCCCACCGAGACTATCAGAGTAGCGGCGATGAGGGCGCCGAAGAGGGCGACGACGAGGAAAGCGGTGCAGCCAGCGCGGGCAGGAGGGAGGCAAGGAACCGGGGCTTCAGGGACTGTCAGCCTCTTCTCATACACAACAACACGGGTAACGGCGGTCGGGAGTACCGCAGAGCTCCGCTGCAGGTGAATGCTATTTGAGAATACTGTTTTGAGGTTTAGCTTGCTTTTTGTGCAAAATATATGCGCTGGCATTGTCTGGGTGAAAAGCTGCAAGCGTCGCGGTGGGCGTTGGAGAATAGGAAGTTCAGGTTTCGCTTTTATAGGTGTGCTTTCGTATTAAGTCGATCTTGGGCATTCATTCAGGCATCCTGACTTTAGGCTATATTTTCATTTGTATACTATTGTATTGTATTCCATTGCTGTTTAAAATTCTTGCTTAAGTAAATATGACACTGTAAAAAAAACTGGCATAGCATTCAGATACTGTATTGTTTTGTTGCTGTATCATGACTCATATCCGGGTTGGTAGTGTACAGTGCAAATATTTCGTATTCCCGTGTGGATTATGTCATTCACGTCAACGCCTTTCCGGCAGAGGTGCAGGAACCGAAGCCTACTGAGGAGGCAAAGGGGTGCAGCGCTATGGTGTCCCCAGAAAGTGCGTGTTTCCCGTAGATATTCAGGGAACGGCCACCATCTACTGTTTCTGTTTAATTAATAGGCTTTATAACGACATATAAAGGGCTTAAATTATGTTTTTCCCACCTAGTCAAACGTACACACCCTTTTCCAGGTTTGGGCACTTTTTGTAGTTCCTTTTTCATTGAGCGTCAGCTTGTCTGCATTGGAGTTCATGCAGGATCGGGTGCTGCCGCCTTTTTTAAGTGTCTACAGCAGATTGTGCCTATGCTACCTTAGTTGTGATCCCACCTTGTTCTCACGCAGTCTCCCCTGGACGAACCGGTGGTGCTGCCTGACGAAGTCATCTTCCCCTTGACTGTGTCCCTTGACAAGCTCCCTGTCAGCACTCTCAAGGTGAAGGTGAGAAACCCAGTCGGCAGCATGGTCCATTAGGGGATGGCTATTCTCCGGTGTTTGTGCATGTTACCCGATATGTCACGACTCGTCGATTGTACTCTGCTGGAATAATACATCTGAAGCTTTTTGGTTGGAACTCCCACACTGGTACTCTTCATCTTCTCAGGTCTCGCAGTATTAAAGTCATGATTATTTACTCATTGACTTTGGAAAAATCATGCATTTTAAAATACTTGTCTTTGTAACAGAGAATTTCCTTGAACTATAAATATAATTAAACTGAGAGACAAATAAAAAAAGGAGCTGGAAAGGGGGGCGCTGGGTTTATAACGAGACAAAACGAGAGCATCACTGCAAACCGAAATGTGGCGTGATAAGCGATTTATCTTGATTCATTTGTTTTGCTACTCATTGGAAGCCAAAATTGTAATTGTGTGTGTGTCTGCCTGTGCATGTACCAGGTCATCGTAACAGTGTGGAAGCGGGACGTGGAGAAAGCGGAGGTCAGAGAGCACGGATACCTCAACGTCCTGCAGCAGCGCAGCCCCAGCCATACCTTTCGGCATGACCTTAACACCTTCAAGGCGCAGGGTCAGTATGCCAATCAGAGCGTTCATTTGAAATGCTTCTCATGTCGTCAGCCAGTTGCGGAATAGAACCAGCATGCTATTTGTTTGTTATGAGAACAATGAAATGGTTCACTTAAAATCATGCACCATCAGCACAATTCCAGTCATACTGATTCCTGCGTTTCCTGTTCCCTCTGAACAGTTAGCACCACCCTGACTGTTCTGCCACCCCCTACTGTAAAGTGTCAGCAGATGACCGTGTCTGGGAAGCACCTCACTGTCCTGAAAGGTATGACACCCTGTTCCCATCTCACTACCTACGGCACACATTTTGAAAGAGAAAAAAAAACTAATTCCAGTGACATTTTATCTAAGAATGAACTAAAGACCATTCTAAAGCCCCGCTGTGCTGTCATGCACTGTCAGTCACCAAGAAATTTTATGTGCTTCCTATTGGCCACTTTATTGGTTCCTGTTTGATTCAAACAGGAAGTTATTGACATAATGAAATATTACTCTGCCTCTGTGGCTGTAACAGCCCCATTGATGATTACATCTTTACAAATCTGAGGTGGATCGTATGTCAGCTTACCGTGGCATGCCGGTGTCATGTGTCAAAAAACGTTTTTGGGGAATGCTGGACCGGCTGGACAAGTACAGCCACAGTACACCTGGAACTTGGAATCAGCCCTAAGCTCTTCATGGGTGGGCGGTTTCTTTTCAGGGGTGTATGAGAGTCTGAGGCATGGGGCGTGATGGAAAATATTCAGTTAGTAGAGAAAAAAATGCTTTGTTGTGGAAAAGTCAGGCATGTGCTACACAAACAGGCGGGTCTGCGGTTAAACCTTCACTTTCAACTACATCAGTCTCAGGTCAATTGTCTCACAAGGCCTTCGATGTCCATTCTGATGTGACCCGGCCTGCCTGAAATATACTGGGCTATAAAGGCAAAACACAGTAACTACACTGACTCAGAGTTTTTTTCACCGTCCACCTGTGTGTATGGTAGATAGGTAAATTATAGTGTTTTCATCAACATCAAGCAATTAAAAAAAAAAAAACAACTTTATTTGTGCCTTTAATTGCCACTCTGGGACAAATAGATTTTTTTTAATGAATTGAATAATTGAGCTACACTGTATGGACAGAAGTTTAGGTGCTTCATTCAGACCCATTGCCACAGGTGTATAAAATCAGGCCCCTAGCCATGCAGTCAGGCTTACAAACATTTGTGAAAGAATCAGTCATTCTGAAGAGGTCAGTGAATTCAAGTGTGGTGCTGTCACAGGATGCCACCTTTGCAGTAAGTTAGTGATTTTTTTTCCCTGCTTGATATTCCACAGTCAGATGTAACTGGTATTATTGCAAAGTGAAAGCTTTTAGGAACAACGGACCACAACCCCATTGAACACCTTTAGCATGACCTAGAACGGAGATTGCGTGCCAAGACTTCACATCCAGCATCAGTGCTTGACCTCACAAATGCTCTTATTGATGAATGTAGACACACTCCAAAATCTTGCGTAAGGCCTTCCCAGGAGAGTGGCAGCTGTTATAGCTGCAAAGGGAGAACCCGATCCATTTTGATGCCTATGGATTTTGAATGGGACATGATAAAAGTTCCTGTAGGTGTGATGACCAGGTGTCCCAATACGTTTGTCCATACAGTGTAAGATATTTGGTGATGAAATAAAACAGAAACCAAGAGTCATTATTTAGTTTTGATAAAATATACCGTTATGATGTTTTGTCTTTGTGGGGGAGTATTAGCAGTATTATTGCCTGTGTTCCTATACAAGCCCCTCCTCCATGCCGTCTCATTAAAGCAGCCTTTTTAAAGCGCTCTGTGTTCATGTTCTCAGTGCCTTAGCTTCCCTTCCCTTCTTTCTCCCTCTCTTTCTCGCCGTCTTTCCTATTGGGCCCGTCAGTGTTAAACGGGTTCTCCCAGGAGGAGGTCTGCGTGCGAGACGTGCGGATCCTTCCCAACTTCAATGCCTCTTACCTCCCCGTGATGCCGGACGGCTCCGTGCTCCTTGTCGATAACGTGTGGTACGTGTGCTGGTGGACCTGGGAGCCTCCCTCTGGTTTATCGCGGGAAGGCGTTCTAACGGTGTGGGAGAGCCAGGGGTCTGCTGTAGCGGGAGGATTAGGAGGACAGAGGAGAGGTGATGGAGGAGATACCCCTGAACACTGTGGCAGGAAATGTTAGGAACACCAGGTACTGCTCATCTAGAGGGACAGTGAACTCAAGCACTGTCTCCCCTGCCCTTCACGCGTCTGGCCCTTAATTGGTTCTCATTAAGCAGTGTCTATCCTCGTACTGTATGTAGCACCTTAAGTAACAGCGACATATTAGATTTTAGCTTACACGCATTTTCCTGATTATTACCGGAGAGCTTCATCGGTGTGTTTCTGTGTGATGTGCAGCCACCAGTCCGGCGAAGTTGCCATGGCGTCCTTCTACCGGATGGACAGCCTGTCCAGCAGCCTTCCGAGCATGCTCAGTGCACTTGAGGAACATAACTTCCTCTTCCAGCTTCAGCTCAGCGACCAGCCTCAGGAAGACACAAAGGAGGTTAGGACCGAAGCGAGACTGTTTATGGGGATGCTGTTTATGCATATGAATATGGATTTATGGGGGAACAGAGAGTACGGTTGGGAACTGAAAGTAGGTTCCATATTACAACTGATAAGAAAATACTCGACGGTACTGCATACCCAATTTTTTTTAAATTTCAGTTCTGCTTATCGATTCCTAAACACTACAGATCTGCAAGGACGTGCGTTGCTATCTGGCAGGACCTGTTTTAGGTGAATACGCCATGCATCAACACGCAACAGCCATTTCCTTAGAGACTAAACATTGCATGCATGGCAACAGTGTGAATCCAAAGTGTAGTTTCACTTTAATAAAGAAAATGACAATTGACACATTGGATCTATTCTTAATTTACAGGTCTGCTGACATTACTTGTCCTAAATCGATGCTGTTTTGGCCAAAGCCCAGTTATATACTAGGTGCCCTAGCATTCCAATGTATTATCGTTTGTAAAATCACCTCAACTCGGCCCAGGTAAACACATTTTTTTCCACGTGGTGTTACTTTATTTGCTTCAGTCAGCTTCACTCATTTGTCAGCACTAGTACCTCTCAAGCAGCGACAGCCAGGCATTGCTGCTGGGATATTCTGAATGTTCAGAATACAGATATTTGTTATCTAAACATTTGTCCTCCTCTTTTTTTACATTTATGGAATCAAAATGGGGAATGCATAAGAACCGGAATCGATAAGCAGAATCAGAATAGGAATCGATAAAATAACATTCTGGTGATACCTACCGCTAACAGAGAGTTATGTATCTAGTGTAGTGTACATATGTGTGTGTGTGCGCACATATGCATGCGTACGCATGTGCCCTCGCATGTGCTGCTGTTCTCCCCGATTCTGTATGTGTGCTGCTGTTCTCCCCGATTCTGTATGTGTGCTGCTGTTCTCCCCGATTCTGTATGTGTGCTGCTGTTCTCCCCGATTCTGTATG